CTTTCCCTGTCCTCTGCTGATGGCCAATCTTATACATTGGGCACTCACAGTGGTCTGAGAACTACCCGCCATCTCCTCCAGGTGCCCTGTCACCGTGTTCCCTGTCCAGGTGAATGCTGCCCAGTCCTGGGGGCTCTGTTATCTTTGGTGCCTCCCAGAATTGAGAACAGTCCCCAGAACAGTGCTTTGCCGCCATCATTTCTCCATCCTTCTCCAAAAATCTTCATGAAAACAGCTTCCTCAGCTTTTCTTTCTACCCTATCTTCCTATAAGAGCTATAGGGCTGGACAGGGGGCCAGATGCCATCACCCCACCAATATTCCCATCTCTTTTAGGAAAAAAAGAAAGATACTAAGAACATTAACTGATGCCTGGGAAGGTCCGGTGCCAACGAGTTTTAACCATAGGTGGGAACATATTTGGGTTCCACTAAGGCATTCCTAACTCAGGAAGTTAGAAACAACATTCCTACTCAGGGAGATGAGTCTCACTGTTCCCTGCAGTGGTCAGGACACATCTACAGCAGCAGCAATAAACTTGAGAATTTGAGTTTCAATTCTAGCAACCAAAGCTCTGCTTCACCTTCTCCAGGCCCCCGGGGAATAAAAATTCTGGTCCCAGATCCTGGACCTCTAATTGTCACCTGTTAGTGGTTTCCCCCAANGAGCAAGGCGCGGGAGCGACACTGAGGGTTGCGGTCCCATTGCCGGTCCCCGGTCCGGTGCAGGGGCAGCACTGAGGGTTGCGATCCGTTGCCGGACACGGAAAAAAAGACAAAAGACAAAAAAACAAAACAAAAAAAAAGAATGAACCTAAGGAAAAATATCATGCCATCTGACAAACTGTTTCTCTAGTGTAGGCCAATAGGAGATCGACTTTTATTTACAACCTCTTTTTTATAAGAGCCATTGCATTCAAACTCAGAAGTGAGTGTAAACACTAAAGATACTGTAACACTTTCTCCAAGACCAGTTTAAAACTATATTCTTAAAGCCATACTCTTTTGTAGATCTTTACAATTAGCAGGCAACAAAAATATAATTCTCGAAGGCAAGCAATAAATTCCATATGTTTTAGAAGTGGTTGCTTCATTAAATATTTCAGAGTAAAAGCTACTGTTCAAAGCTACTTTAAAATTCAACTCTTACAAAGTAAGTCAACTTAAATTTATTACTTACACCAGTTTTTCCACTTCCTGTTTCTGCAGCCTGAATGGGGGAAAAAGTTGATTTTAAGTTGTCAATTAAAGAAGTCAAATTAAAATGACACCATGAAGAAATCTTTAGCATTTGACTAGCTACCTTTATGTTCACAGTGCCTCCAGATGACTCTGGCTTCTCAGTCAATTTTGACTGTTGCCAATCTTGTCATCTCTCCCATTCCATTAAGAATCTGCTCACCCCTGTCCCTTCTCATTGCTGCCATTCAAACTGAAGCCCTTATCATTCTAACCTAGATTATCACAAGAGCATCCTAATACCATGTAATCCCACACAGCTACACTACAATCTGCTACCAAACTGGTCTTCATAAAAACACAATTCTAACCATGTAACACCCCTGCTTAACTGTCAACAAATACCCAAATTCTTTGACACTTAAGAACCAAAATAACATGACCCACTATATATTTCCCATTTTACCTTGTTACAACCCTCCATCCCCTCCCCCAGCCACAATGGCATTTTATGCTACTATCTAACGGAACTATTCCAGGATCACATCCTGCATTCTCCTATTCAATGTTTTTGTTGATTCTCTCCATCTAGACAGCATTTCTCTTTCATCTTCCTTTATCAAAAATCTACTTCCTCCAA